GGGCTCCGGCGATCCTTCCCTCAGCCTTCCAAGTAGCTGGAACTACAGGCGCGCACTACCATGCCCGGCTGATTTTTTATTTATTGTGGAGATGAGGTCTCGCCAAGTTGCCCAGGTGGGTCTTGAACCCGCGGGCTCAGGCAATTCACTCACCTCAGCCTCCCAAAGGCAGGGGATTACAGGTTGAGCCACCGAGCCCAGCGATTATAACTTTAAAATAGTCTTTATTATCACTTTTTCCCAGCATCTATAAAACGGTCAACCAGAAAACTATAAAAACTGCTTCTTTGATGATGGATTGTTCATCAGATTCTGCTGGTAGCCAGTTCAATTGATATAGGTAAGACGCAGTTGAGACCTGTAAGAGCAAAGAGAGACAATGTATTTCAGGAAAGTGCCCAGACCATCTGTAAATGAGTTTGCTACAATGAGGTCTCTGAGTTTAGAGAAAAAGTGAAGGAAGGAGGAAAGGCTAAAACAGCAGTAAAAGATGGGGGAGGAAAATATTACGAACAGAAGAAGAATGAGAAAACTACCGTTAACATTTTTAGGCACATCCTTCTAGAACTTTTTAATGTATATTAAGGTATATATTAATCACATACCTTATTAATATACTTAATCATAATACCTTATTAATCGCATACTTAATCACAATACCACAAATACATCATTCTAGGAAAAAGTACACTGGATCACTTTATTTTTTAAGCTCTTTCACTCTGTAATTTCTTGTGTGTGTGTCGCTGTTTTAAAAGTTTAGGTTCTCTCTCCCTCCTCTCACCCTCGGGCCTCTCTTATATCAGGAAGGCAACAGCCAACCACTTGTCAGATTAGGAGTTTTACCTCTGGCCGTGGGTATTAAACAGCATGGCACGAAGAACTCAGTCGTGCCGCTAAGCACCCTATTACTGATGCACGGAGGATATGAGTACAACTACTAAACATTGTTAGTAGCCTCCTTTATCGTCAGGGTTCAAAGAGAAGAAACACAACCACGTATATTAGGATTTGCTGCCAGAATTTGACGTTAAGCAACCGCGCACGCTGGTTAGACTGCCGGGAAGGGAAGTGCAGAACTTGCAAGAACATGCTAGAACTCACCTCAAGTTTCGCTGTTTTCTTTGCCTTTGACCTTGGAAGCGAGAACGTCCTTTACGGGGCGGGATCCGTCTTCACTGAGCTACACACACATCCGGCCCGGAGTCAGAAAACTGAAAGGAGGAACCAAAAGAAGAGGCATGCGAGAGGGACGACAAACGGGGTACTCCGCTCCCCAAGCATCAGGGAAGCCTATTCTGGAGTCCTTTCCCACCGGAAGCGCACAGGGAAGGGCATTCTGGGAAATGTAGTCCAGTGCAGCCAGGCCTGCCGCTCCAGCCGCCGCTGCCCGTTGTTTCCGGCGTTCCCGGTGGCCTACCTCTGGGTATGCCAGGAGAAGAGCAGGCGTTTGGGCAGGGTCAGGGTTCCTGATCTCCGGTCATCTGTGACGCAAGTCCTTTTTTTTTTTTTTTTTTAGGAAAGTTTTGCTTTCTTCTTTGTCTACAAGAGGAGTCAGCCCTCTCTCTTCTTTCTTTTTTTTTTTCCTCCCTCTGTCCCATTTCCGCCTGCCCGCCCCTACACTAACTCTTTTTTTTTTTTTTTTTTTTTGAGTCGGCGTCTCACGCTGTCGCCCAGGCTGGAGTGCAGTGGCACGCTCGCCGCCACCGCAGCCTCGACCTGCTGGGCTCAGGCGATCCTGCCGCTTCAGCCTTTCAAGTAGCCCGAACTACAGGCGCCCGCTACCACACCCGGCTAATTTTTTTTTTTTGACTTATTGTAGAGACGAGGTCTCCCAAGTTGCACGGGCTGGTCTCGAATCCTCACGGTCAGGCAATCCACTCTCCTTGCCCTCCCAAAGTGCTGGGATTACAAGCTGGGCCACCGAGACCGGCCGCCAATCCACTTTTTTTTTTTTTTGGAGTCTCACTCTGTCGCCCAGCCTGCAGTGCAGTGACACACTTACGGCCACCCCAGCATCGACCCACTGGGCTCCAGCGATTGTTTCACCTCAGCCTTCCAAGTAGCCGGAACTACAGGCGAGTGCTACCACTCCCGGCTAATTTTCTAGTTATTGTAGAGACGAGGTCTCGCCAAATGCCCGGGTTGGTCTTGAACTCGAGGGCTCAGGCAATCCACTCGCCTCGCCAATCCACTTTTAACCACTGTTAAACTGAGAAGGGCAGGGGGAAGGAAGAGATAGGTTAGGGAGAGATTTGTTAAAGGCTACAAAATCACAGCTAGGTAGGAGGAATAAGTTCTAGTGTTTCTTACCACTGAAGGGTGACTATAGTTAATAATAATAAATTGTTTCAAAATAGCTAGAAGCATAATTTTTTTTTTTTGAGTCGGAGTCTCACTCTGTCCCCCAGACTGGAGTGCAGTGGTGGCTCCTGGCCACCGCAGCCTCGACCTGCAGGGCTCTGGTGATCCTTCCGCCTCAGCCTTCCAAGTAGCTGAAAGTACAAGTGCGTGCTACCACGCCAGGCTAATTTTTCATTTATTGTAGAGATGAGGTCTCGCCAAGTTGCTTAGGCAGGTCTTGAACCCGTGGGCTCAGGCAATCCACTCACCTCGGCCTCCCAAAGCGCTGGGATTACAGGCTGAGCCACCGAGCCCTTTTGTTTTTTTGAGTCAGAATCTCATTCTGTTGCCCAGGCTGGGATGCAGTGGTATGATCACAGCTCACTGCAGCCTTGATCTTCTGGGTCCAAGCAATCCTTCCACCTCAGTTAGTAGCTGGGACTATAGGTATGCACCACCCAGCCTGGCTAACTTATTTTTTGCTGAGATGACGTCTCACTATGTTTCCTAGGCTGGTCTCAAACTCCTGAGCTCAAGCAATCCTCCTGCCTTGGCATCCCAAAGTGCTGGGATTACAAGCATGAGCCACCTTGCCTTACCAAAAGAACCATTATGAATATATTATAAAGATCTCAAATTAGTTTCATTGTTCTGTGATAAAATTTGGACTTTTCCATTTAAAAAAAGTGGACAAGCCGGGCTCGGTGGCTCAGCCTGTAATCCCGCACCTTGGGAGGCTGAGGTGAGTGGATTGCCTGAGCCCGCGGGTTCGAGACCCGCCTGGGCAGGCAAGACCTCATCTCTACAATAAATCAAAAAATCAGCCAGGTGTGGTAACGCGCGCCTATAGTTCCAGCTACTTGGAAGGCTGAGGTGGAAGGATCGCTGGACCCCAGCAGGTCGAGGCTGCGGTGTCCGGGAGCAGCCACTGCACTACAGTCTGGGCAGCTGAGTGAGACTCCAACTCAAAAAAAAAAAAAAAAAGTGGTCAAAATAAATGTTAGCATGACATATTGCTGCTAAATAAACCCAAGTGATAAAATACTTTTGACAAAAATGTAGGTAATATTGAATACTTAGCACATAGTCAACTCTCAGAGGGAGGCCTAGAACCCGCCTGATCTAGGCCCACAATGTTCTCACCCTCATTCACAAGTCCAGTGAGGCTCAGGAACTATTGGCCAACCCTGGTCTCTTCACTCACTTCCCCCACCCCTTCAATGAACTGATGCTTAGTGAGGCATGTGGGGTTGATCAGGTTCCTCAGTGCCAGGCTCCCTCTCACCCATTCAACCATGGTGGTTTTGAAATAGAAGCTGCAGTTGGAAGGAATTATTATAAACATGTTAGGTTGGATGAGGTATAGAGTTTTACACATTTTACAGTTGTTTTTTTTTTTTTGAGTTGGAGTCTCACTCTGTTGCCCAGACTAGAGTGCAGTGGCCGCTTCCGGCCACCGCAGCCTCGACCTGCTGGGCTCTGGCGATCCTTCCACCTCAGCCTCCCGAGTAGCCAGAATTACAGGCATGCGCTACCAGGCCCGGCTGATTTTTTTATTTATTGTAGAGATGAGGTCTCGCTGCCCAGGCGGGTCTCGAACCCGCGGGCTCAGGCAATCCACTCACCTCAGCCTCCCAAAGGCGCGGGATTAAGGCTGAGCCACCGAGCCCGGCCATTTTACAGTTTTGTTGTACTCACACTTCTGGATGAAAACAAAGCATTTCATGCATTGCCACTTAGGGGGAGTAAGAGGGGTCACTTGGGGAGCAAAGAGGTCAAGGACAGAAGGAGTGAGAACTGTGGGCAAGTGCCTTTATTACAGTTTTTGCAGGAAAAGAGGGCAAACAGGTTTAGGATTGGCTAATTTGAGTAATTACAAGGGGGCTCTGGGGCATAGCAGATCTCCCTGGTTGTCTGCTACCTGGCTCTGGGCTGATTAGGCTGGTTGTATAATGGCCTCTAGTGTGAAAGCCTGATAAGAGAGGTGGTTGTGGGTATGGACTTAATCAGCTGCTCAAGAAGAGGAACTAACTGGCCTCTAGCCAGGGCCCAAAAACTGGGTCAAGACAGCACACACCCTCATACACAAATGATATTACTAGAAGCAATATTTTTTAAAGAAATTATGTAAATCGCCACAAAATTTTTGTTACTTCCCTGATCCTAAAACTTCAGTACTCCTCACTGTATATTATTTTCCATGTTCTTTGAAATTTCAAAATATTTCATAATTCAAAAATTATATGTATAGTTGACAGTTTTTAAGGAATTGAATGCCACTCCCAGAGCACTAGTTTATCTATAAACTTTTGTCCAAAAACAACAAAAGTAAAGAGGGCAAAATATCAATGTCTGTTAAATTTATAGTATTATCTTTAGGGCAAGGTGCGGTGGCTCATGCCTATAATCCCAGCACTTTGGGAGGCTGAGGTGAGAGGACTGACTAAGCTCATGGGTTTGAGACCTTATCTCTACAAAAAAAAAGAAAAAGAAAAAATTAGCTAGGCATGGTGGTGAGTGTCTGTAGTTCCAGGTACTTGGAAGGCGGAAGTGGAAGAATCGCCTGAGCCTAGTACGTCGAGGCTGCAGTGGCTGTGAGCGTGCCACTGCACTCCAGCCTAGGTGACAAAGGGAGACTCCAACTCAAATAAAAAAAATCTTTAATTTTCTGTATTTTTAAAATATTCTATTAAAAAAAACAGTTACTGAGAGGGCAGAAAGAAAGAGAAGTTGCAAGCTGCCCTGTGCCTGACACATCTTGATCCAAATGAACTTTTCTGACTCTCCTCAGGCTTCACAGAAGTGAAGGCATCTAACTGTACATACTATTTGGTGGGAGAACTCATGACAGGCTAAAAACTGATGACATAGAATGGAAACAGACCTAGAACTTAGCTAACACCCAGGCCAGGGCTTCTGTTGCTGGCCCAGCCTGTTGGGAAAATAAACAAAGAAAGGACACTCCACAACACTGTCCACCACTGCCACCCAATCCAGCTGGAGTCTTTTGCTTCAAGCAAAAACCCAGCAAGCTCAGGGATGACATAACCCCTTTCACTGTTTAACACATTAAAGTGCCATTTGAGAAAACTGTAATATTTTCTGAAAGAACTGCAAATAACTCAGGGTCCAGCCTTCCTGGTGGTGTTTGCCTGCTTCCCAGTGTTTACTGATCCCTCCTCTCTGCCTACTAGGGAACAGGGCCTATCCTACAGCTGGACGGTTCAATTGGTTTTCTTACTTCATTCTATTCTCAGATGAGAAAGAAAGGCAGAAAGGGGGCAAGTAAGACAGCCTAAAAGACTTGCTTCTCACTAGGATCTAGATTGTAGCAGTTAAAGCTGACCCTGGAACCAGATGGCTTCCACCCGATGCCCAGACCTAACATCTGGAAGCTGAGTGAGTTACCATAACTACTCTGTACCTCAGTTTCTTTCAACTAAATGGTGATGAGATAATGTAACATCTACTGTTGTCATAAGATTTAAATGAGATTAAGTAGTTAGAATGGTGCAAAGCACAGTGAAAGTGCAAAATGTGTTCATTGTTTTTGTTATTGCTATTTAACAGATGCTGTGATTTTTTTTTTTTTTTGCAGTTAGAGTCTCACTCTGTCACCCAGACTGGAGTGCAGTGGCCGCTCCCAACCACTGCAGCCTCGACCTGCTGGGCTCCGGCGATCCTTCCGCCTCAGCCTTCCAAGTAGCTGGAACGACAGGTGCGTGCTTCCACACCCGGCTAATTTTTGATTTATTGTAGAGATGAGGTCTCGCCAAGTTGCCTAGGCAGGTCTCGAACCCGTGGGCTCAGGCATTCTATTCATCTCAGCCTCCCAAAGGCACGAGATTACAGGCTGAGCCACCGAGCCCGGCTGATGCTATGATTTTGAACAAAAGATTTCTCGAAGTCTTGATGATTCCC